ACCCCTTCCCTCAATGCTAATTCAGTCTCCTTGCCTTGCCCAACCCATTACTTTGCTCTCTCCTCCCTCTCAAATTTGCTGCTGTTCTCCCTGTTCCCTTTAGGACCTGCCTCATGCCCCACAAAACAGCTGCACATGCCACACATGCAGCAAGTTGGCCACCCTGTTGTAAAGGCAATAGTGCAGGCAAGCTATTAAAATTATTCTGATCTGAGGACTGGGATTCAAAATGGCTCAAAGACAGGAAACATATTTTCTGTCAAATCTATTAAATTAAAAAACAAGGTTTTCCTAGGCTAAGAAAGCCTTGCCAAATTTCCTCACAAGGTTGATTTTTAAAGCTGAGTAGCAAAGCCTTGGAAACAGTCAGGGGTTATGATTAAAATGCTGACAGATCTTTAACTTCAGCTGTGGGAGTGGTTCTGCTATAATATACAGATCCTGTGAATTAGAGATATAAAGTATGTTTAAGTAGAACTAAAATGTGTCTAGATATTCTATGCTTTTATGCCCCTTCAGTCCTGTTAATTTTACTTTACAGTGTGACAGTGATGAATTGATGTCTAACATTTCCAAGTGCCAGGTAGACTGTGTACACATTTATTAAGATTAATTAAAAAGTAACAAATTGTAAAGTAATAACATTAACAACTGGTGGAAAAAGTGTAGACATTTTGACAGTCTTTTTGAATTTCATTAAAAGATGGTAGTGACAAAAACCCAAGAGACTATTTCTACTTTACTAAAGAAATAGGTCACAGATTCAATTACAGTCACTGAAGCATGGACTCAATCTATCATGGCAAATTAAGTACATTTTAGCAACCTACTTTCCTTTAAAAATTTTATAGACACTTTCACTGGAAGAAGAAAGACTATAGAAAAAGAAATTGCAAACTGAGGGTTTTTTTTCCCTATTGCTGCCAAGTTCTTGGCTTATTTACCAGAGGTGTAAGAGAAAGAAAAAATCATTATTGAATGCCAAGATATATAATCATAATTTCTTTTCCCATTTTTAGTCTTTAATTAATGATGTATCATTTGGTCTTTGACCAGGAAGCATGGCTCAGTTAGAATCTACAGTATATCCAGCTAAAAGCTTTGTTCTTTCATTGAAATCAAAGAACTCATTTACTTAGAAAAATTCACTCCACAGCCTTTATGCAATTTTGCCACAGATCTTTAGTGCTGAGCTGAAAATATGTTGTACTCCCAGTTCCAAATAAATAAATAAATGAAGACACACACAGCCTGTGGATATGGTTTAGCTGAGTGCAAATATTGGAATGATGAAACACTCTTTTGCCCATAGCAGAATTGATTTTGTGTTGACAACTGGAATTTATAAAGATCCACTTTCAACAAAGTAGCAGTAGCCATATTTGCTGCCTTACCACAGCAGCAACAAAATAGTAGCAAACAAGAGCACTGGCAAGTGAAATATAATCTATTTCTTTCCTAACATAACCCAAAGATTTGTTAAAGTGCGCCTATGAAATTTATGAGCTTTAGGTAATAGTTACATATTAGGCTTTCATATTTAGCATTTGTACAGTCTAAGGATTCCAGCAAGATTATGAAATGAGCACAGGGTATAGGTAGTTAGCAATAACACGATGCTTTTGAGAAGTGTATGTTAGTATATGTTACTATGCCATTTTAATGTGTTTGATGTTTAGCATGACACTTTTTTCCCATCACTTCTTCGGGACCTTCCAAAACCTTTCTCTTACTTTTACTGACCAGTATTGACTAGTCAAGTATTCAGAACCAGATTCACCGTCTCACTTCTCCAGGGTTTTATACTGGCATTGATTTCACCACCTCTGGAAGGAGTGTATTCCAGGCTTTGGGGGCTTGGATGGTAAAGAATTTTCCCCTTACATCCAGCCTAAAATGGTCTTGGAGGAGTTTGTGACGATTGGACCTTGTCATCCCTTGGGGTGCTCTGGTGAACAGGTGTTCCTCCAGATCCTGATGCACACCCCTGATGTACTTATAGGTTGCCACCACGTCACCCCCGAGCCTGCTCTTTTCCAGGCAGGCTGAAGAGTCCCATGGCTTTCAGGCTCTCTTCGTAAGGCCTGTTCTCTTACCCTCTGATCATGAAGATGGCTCTCCTCTGGACTCTCTCAAGCTTTTCCATATCCTTCTTGAGTTGTGAAGCCCAGAATTGAATGTAGAGAATTGAATGCAGTAATTCAGCTTTGGCCTCACCAAAGCCAAGTACAGTGGGAGGATGACATCCTGAGATTTCCTTGAGAGGCATCTATGGATGCAAGCCAGAGTTTGGTTCACTTCACCAGCTGAGACATCACATTGATGGCTCATGTTCATCTTGTGTTCAATCATGACCCCCAAGTCCCTTTCAGCTGTGGTGCTAGCAAGTGTAGTAGGGCCAACTCTATAAGCGTGATGTAGGGTTTTTTTCCCTGGAGGTGAAGCACCTTGTATTTATCCATATTGAATGTCATCAGGTTTATACTATTAGATCTATATTATCTTCATAATTCAAGTAACCCAAACTATTTTATCATTTACTCACAGCCAATGTTTTGAAGGCCAGACTTCCACCTATCAGGAGTATAGGTTGTAGGCATGTTGGTTTAAAAACAGAGGCAGACAAGGTTCTTTTGTGAAATCTAGTATCTTTTATTAGACCAACTCAGTTGAAAAATTTCATTCCAGCCAGGAAGAGCACAGACCAACTGCAGATACTTCCTCAGCTTGATGAAGGGTATTTGTACTTAGAAGCTTGCAAAGAATAATTTTTCTAACTATTTGAGTTGGTCTAATAAAATATATCAGATGGACTTAGACACCCAAGTGCGATTCTGGGTAGGTCATTGAAAATCCACTAATGCATCTACTTTTGTGAAAACCACTGTCTTGCCCTCAAGAATGAGTCACAAAAAACACAAAAAAGGCATCTGAGTCTTCTTACACACCTTATAGGTGGGATGAAATCTCATCTTTGTCTTGCATAGCTTTGACACAAAAATATGGAGAAACTAAACAGTTTTTCGGGGGGGGGTTGTTGGATTTTCTTTGTTTTGTTTTAAGTTTTAGAGGGTTACATGGAATAGGGAACTTAGAAAAGCATCTAAGGTTGTAAGATCTATGAAAAGTCAAAATAGACAAAAAAATAGTGGCACTTGGGAGTGTTTTGTACATCTGTCATCTCA